CCCATTCGGCCTGAAACGACTGGAGTCCTCCTCGAAATCCACGACGATGCATCATATTCCACGGCGACCACTACGAACGACCCACGCCGGCAACCCACACCAACACCACTACCATACCGCTACAACACCCAAAACACCACACCAATTTGTTTCTACAGAGCTTTTGGTAGGCCGGCCCGCCCGGGGGGAAGGGATGCGGAGGGACGGCGGCGTCGAATCTCAACACGGGACGCCGGCATGTCATCATCGCTGCACCCAACCACCAACCCCCCGCCTCTCATCACAAGGACAACTTCTTCTCTAGCTTTTCTTTTCTCTACATGCTTGGCCCGGGTGCGGCGGCGGCGGCGGCGGCGGGCGCCGGGGTGGGGGGTATCGGTGACCCCACACCCACCTGCGGGGCCCCCGACTCTCTCACGGCCGGGTCAAACGACCTCTCCGGCTTCTCCGACGGCGGCGCGTTGGGCTTGGAGCGAGCCTCGTGGACGTGCCGGTAGCAGATCGAGCTGAGCATCGGCAGGTTCAGGAGGTACTGGGTGTTCTCCTTCACCGAGAGGGTGCCGTCAAGGTCGACGAACTTCAGCCCGATCGATTCGAAGTAGCGCGACGGCCTGGCGAACAAGATCACGGACGATGCAAAAAGAAACGGACAAGTTAAGTGGAACGAACGCAGAGGAACAACGACACGCATGCCGTGTTCGATGGGCGAACCTGGAAGAAACCCAGAAATGAAACAGCGTAGGGTGACTAGCGGCACGTGAGTGATGTGATTCGACGGCGAAAAAATCCAACACACCACCCGCAGCCCCGGCATCAGCGGCTGCGGCAAGTCATTCCCGAAACAAGCTGTAGAAAAGAGCGGCCAGTGCGGCACGCATGAGAAAATGGAACCAAATGCAGTGGCGAACGAGAGGAACACCGCAAGCTAGCTCTGCGTGGGGAGCATTCGAACGCAGAGCGAAGGCCACTACCATAGGCACCGAAAAAAACTTAACATTCCCCAACTATCGTACAAGGCAGTAGTCACACAAACGACGGTGATCGCTTTACCCGGAGCTCTGCTGGTGGTAGGTGTCTATTCGCACTTGGGCCGCCTCCGCGTGATCGTCCGCTCTCCCCGACCCCTTACCCCTCTCCACGATACGGCTTGCCATCACCTCGTCGGGGCAATTAATCCTGTGGCAAAGGCGTCCACGCACAACGCACACACAGTACCACCACCACCAAACAAAGCACAAGAAGGAAGAACACGCACACACGCGCGCGAGAAAAAAGGGGGTTCAGCAAAATCGACCACCAGACATTCGTGAACGATTTCGAGGAGCAAGCGCTAGGGGTCAGGATTGGAGGTGGTGTTCACCGCCGTCGTGTTTCTCACGGTCATCCGGGACGCAAGCACGATCCTGCGCCAAATAGCACAAGAACAACATGGCAAACGCACGTGGGCGCCGAAAACGTGGGGTACAAAACCGCGTAGCGTGTGTCCCAAGCGATAGTTGCGTCGGACAAGCGATACGTGACGAAAAGAGGGCGGCGGGAAAGGGTGTAACTCATGCCATGCTCCACGAGACTCTGACTACAAGGTAGCCTTTTCAACGCTCTCACTGCAAAAAGTAGCCTTTCCCCAAGTACTTTTGATACGTATCCGCCCCGTGACACTGTACCGTAACTTGTATACTTCTGGTGCCGCAAAACGCACCTGATGCACGCCTCTGGAGGGCCGAAGAGCCTCGCCCAATCCCTGGCGTTGTCCAAAGAGCGAGGGAATCCGTCCAGCAGCACATGCTTGCCGGGGTGACGCGTCAAGAACTTCTCCAGGAGCGCCTATCATACAGTCAAGCGGACACGACAGGGTCACGTGTCAAACACAAAGAGCCGGTGTTGAGCACACACAGAGTCTAGGCGAGCATGAAGAGTCAGGTCGAGCACGCAGAGTAGGGTCCGGCACAACCGAGTCGCGTCCAGGATAGAAAGGGTTTGTTCGACCTATAGAACGAGTCGGGTGGAGCACACACACAAAGAGTCGAGTGGAGCACAAAAGAGTCGCGTGCCGAGCACAAACAGCAGGGTCCAGCACAACAGAGTCGCGTCGAGGACAAGAAGAGTCCATTGCAGCACAACGAGCCGGGTCGAGCACACCAAGCACACAAGAGCAGGGTCCAGCACAAAGTAGGCCCTCCACTGTGGTGCTGTTCTCTCCGACTGGATTGACCCGTACCGGGCATCTCTTCTTCCGTACCGACACGGTCGGCTACGGAAACCAGATGCAAAGGAGAACCGCGTGCGATTTTTGCTGTTGCGACCCCCAGGAGCCTTGCCGTGCAGCACAAGACTACCATTACCCGCAGGGGTGATTCACAAGGGCGACAGCAGTCTACCACGACACGTGCAGCACAATTCTCGAAATCGCCGAAGCCGACCCGCCATTTTCTGCGGCGTTGCCAACAACAGCGGCAGCTGCAGCTGCAGCAGCAAGAGTACACGTCAACTCCAGAAAAGGTGGAAGGACAGGACGGCAGAACTTCTGCTTCTCTCCTTGTTGAAAGTTACGGTAGTACAGCAGTAGTAGATCATGCGACTCACCAAAACAGTACTGGCATCGACGAGGCGGCCCTCCTTCATCCTCTCCGCCACCTGCTCCAAACAGCGACAACAACACCAGCGACAGGAGCAGCAGCAGCGCAAGCGATAAACAACAGGACACTTTAAACCGATAAACAACAGGACCGCACAAGAAACAAGGCACCACCACCTTGTTGGGGGGGGGGGGGGGGGGCACATTGA